AGTAATATTCATAAGAAGTTTAAATTAAACAATATCTGTAATTAAAACTAACTAAATGTGAGCATTGTCAATTGGGGTTGATGATTTGCGAGGTGTAATTTTTGTCTTGTTTTTTATTTTGTTCTGTTTTCTGTTAAAAAAGTCTTGATTTTTTTTACCAGAAATCGATATGCAAAGGGATATCATGATAAGCATTGCGTGCCAAACTTTCAAAATTAAGCAATAATTTTAACTCTATAAGCAAAGCTTTAAATTTTAATTAAGTCATTACTGAAAATTTCGAGGAATTGTTTTCAAATCGCCCTTTGTTCGAATGAAAAGACAATGGTTCTCAATGTTTATCAAAGAATACTTGATCTACAAGATGAAGACATACAAAATGAGCCGTGCAAGCGAGTTAATCCACTAATGACGTATTGATACTTTGGTTTATGGATCTTCGTGGTACACATATATGTACTTATTCTAAAATTTGGGTTAATTTAAGGGTTTCTACAGAGTAACTTATAAAGACAGAACAGTTGAAATAGTTAAAGATTTCTTTTATCTCAAATATGGATCAAATTTCGAATAATCTTAAATGTAATAAAAATTAATATTAGTTAAAGAACAAATCTTAAATTTTAAGACATACTGCGTTACTACTTCTTATGGATGTGCCAGTATTTGGAACAGTTTAAAGGAATAAACTCATGAACAGAGTCATTGAGGTTTCTCGGAAATTTCAAAGTGACATTTATAAATTATCATTGGATAGAATTTTATATATTTTGCATATAACACAAAATCACATAAGGAAAAAAAAGTATCAAAACGTTTTACTCCAATATATAGTCAATTTCTTTTTCCTTTGCATCAGATTGGAGACCTATATATAAGCAAAGCTTTAAATTTAATAAGTCAAGAAAATTTAATGTCAATCGCCCTTTTGTTTACGAATGAAAGACAATGGTTACAGTTACTGAGGAAGTCGTTAATCCACTAATACTAATTAGTTTTGTCACCACACATAACTTATTCTTACAGAGTAACTTATAAACAGAACGTTGAAATAGTTAAAGATTTCTTTATAATATTCAAATTTAATAATATTAATTAATACTTAAGTTTAAGAGGCACCCTTCCTCCCCAGGATTAAAAGGAGTTGGAAATAATAGGTCAATGACTCGAGTGAATACAGTATATAATATATATGGGATCGCGATCAAACATTTGTTCGGGTTTATTCCCCTCGGCGATTAGATTGTGATACTTAGGAACTATTAAAAAAAACCGGCGCTACAAACTATAACCGTTTCGTGAGCATTTGTTTTTTCTTATAGGCATGTAGGTGATCAGCCTACTGTGCCTAACAAGCCGTCGTCTTTATGTGTTTTTTTTTATATCTGAGGTGGAATTGCATTTTCGCATGCCTGTCTTCAAAAGTTGCAGGGGTATGTGAGACTCGATCTATACCAGAATATCTGCTATTCAGAGACTAGGTGCGCAATATTCACTAAAACCTCCTTGAATAGTTCCTACACGTAACAGAGGCTCCGGGTTAGCTGTCGCATTATCCGGGAGCTCAATGGTATGTTACACTTAAAAACCTCAAAAAAAAGATAGGAGATATCTTCGGGCATATCTTCTCCTATTTACTCCGCATCTTCTAACCCTAGGATTCGTTCTAAACCGCTCCCTCTTTCATTCTGCTGTCTCCTTCTGTAGCATTACTTGCTCACTAATACCACTGCATTCCATACCTCGTCATTGCCGACCATATTTGGACAACACAAGTCAAAGTCAGGTTATTCCTACCACTACCACGTTATACCCACCACGTTTTTATGGATCTAATGCATGCCGATTTCCTCTCGATGTTTGGCTTTACCAAACCTTTGGCTTGGCTTTGGTTTGGACAATCGGAATTCGAAGCAACGAGGTCAGGTATGAGAGTCACACGCTGCGAAAGCCAACACCGCCAAATGAATAGATCATGCAGTGGCTAAGGACTTGTATAATTGTATATTCAAATTTAATTCGAATTAATTACACTTGACTCTGTTTTAAAAACAAAATATTGATGTTTCAAAATCTTTCTCTGCAATGCAGTAACCTATACAGCCACATTGTCACGTGCTTACAATCATTTGGTACATTAAATTCCACGGTTTTGAAAACAAAATCTCAACTCACTCGAATGTTTGACAGAAATATGAAACGACTCAACGTAATTTATTATATCAATATTATTTTATTAAAATAGGTCAAATTGTAAATCGATTCAGTCTCATTTATCTTTATTTAGAGCGGAAGAATATGCTTGCATTTATTTCATCTTTTCTTTTGTTTAAAAGTTAGTTAAACAAAAGTGGAATGTTCAATACAAATATATATAAATATGGGCATGTGTTTGCAAATTATGATGATTCTTTTCCGACCAAATATCGACCAATATGATTGCAACATTCGACGTGTGGTAGAACCTACATGGTATTATACTGATAATTTGTTTGAAAATTTTCTTGGTAGTTGCTTCAAGAAAAGTATTAAGTAGTTGTTTTATTCATTATGAAATTCTTATTTGTTAACTGTACAATTCGTCTCATGGTGCCATGATTTGTGATTGAAAAAAACACTTTTTACGGAGCTTCAAGTTATCTGGCATTTCCCTCAAGTTTTTCAACAGATAAGTGGTACTTTTTACAGGTTCAAACCGTTTTTTAACCTGACAAACTTGACCACTCATTTGGCTGTAAGAACCTATCGGGAAATTCCCGATAAATTTAAAGGCTCTGTAAATTTATAATAATACTTCTTTTAGTTTGGAAGAATGGTTTATTTTTATAATTAGTTTTATTTAAGAGTTTTATGTCAATAAGACAATTTGGTCCACTGATTTATGATGTAAAATATTATGATATTCTAAATTAACTGGTCTAACATAATCATATTAAGCCTAATACTTTTATATACAGCACTGACACTGCTTCAGTTATTATACTATTTAACATTGAACTAAACTACAAAAAGTTCAAACGAAATGTATCACATCAATCTATATAATTACAGACACAAGTCTCATCTATAGTCTATAACTAGTAAAACGTTTTATGTCGCCCTCACATAAATCCTCCTCTGATGAATTTCATGCAAATTATTGTTGTAAAATTTTCCCTCCCGACCTCGTACCAATTTTAGTATGATTGGGAATTTATAATCATTTACTATAGTTTGGTGTCGTTAAGTAAAAATTTGTGCTAGTTATATATTTCGAATGATTTTGAAATCTATGTTTAAAATCTAATCTGATTTTACTATATGAGCCATATTTCTACAGATAAATATTTAAAAAAAAATACTTGATGATTTTAATGAATAATAATTTATATGTTCTTTACGAACATATAAATTATTATAGCAACTTAAAAAAATAACAATTGACTTTATTTTTTTAAAACTTTGAAAAAAAGATGTAAACGAAAGTCAAAAGCGCATCGTTTAAATATCCTAATTATGACAAGAGTTCTTTGTTAAAGCAAATCAGTGCACAAAGTTATTAAGATATTCAGTAAAGCAATTTCTTACATCCATAAAATCTCTTACGTCATACCACTTTCAACGTTTTCCGTAAATTGATCTCACCTTATTTGAATAGAATTTTATGATCGAAGTGTTTCACACAAAATTACGATTACAAATTGCAGATTTATCAAATTGATCTACAAGATCTGCTTAGGAATACCCCTCATTCACTTTACGATGGATTACGGTTTTATAGTTGCCTTAATTTTACGAGCCCTGATTAGCTGATCCTTGTTTACGAATATGTTGATACGTACTTTTGCCCCTTAATTGCAACAGATTTTTATGGGACAGGGCAATTACTTAAACAATGTCCGAACAAAAAAAAAACGACGAGTTGCACTCCGGGAGTGCCGGCAGAAGTGAAAACTTGAATATTAACGTTGTGCATTTTTGATATTTTGGAATGGTTAGGGAATAATTTTGCACGAATTGCTTTAATTATCAGTATAAAAGTACTATCATTTATGTGGTAGAATACAATATTTATTTATTGCGCAATCGTACACAAACATGACAATTTATATTACATTAAATACGCCGCTCCAGCTGTCTACTCTCCATACTACCGTAACTATATAGCACGAAGGTTCATAATCCTTTGAAAAAACATCCATCTTACGAATTTATCCTGATGCGAGTTTAACATTTTTTACCCATTTCAAAGTGGGTTTGGGGGGGGTTTGGGCTTATGCTTTTACGGTTTCCAGCACGGCATGCTTGCATTGCATGGTAGCATAGGTGCAGACCCACCCTACCACATCCTTCTGATGGGTAGGGTGGCATGGTCTTGGGGGTAGCGCAAGTCGCTGGGATCCTCAAGGCAAGTTTGGTGGACTAACCTTCCCGAGGTTGCCGACCCTGTTTTTGGTCTAATACCCTATGTATTAGACGTAACTAAAACCACCAAGCGGACTATTGCAGGGATGGAGAGGTCATGTCCCTGCGAGTTCATCGTCCGAAATAGAAGGACGGTGGACAGTTAATGACCTCCCGCGTGTTTGTGCCGTGCGCGGGGTCCCGTACGGGAGGATTAAGGAGTCCTGGTGGTTGAGTGGCGTAGTGCGCCGGTTACAGTTGTGCGCTACACACAACACACCTCTTTGGTCCGGATTTCTCCTCACACGGGAGGCCGTGGATTAGCTAACCATGGTCAACCGGCTGTGGTATCCCATAAGCGGGCTACCGAGCGAGAGTCGGGGTGTGGAGGGGGGGCCGTCGGCGTGGCTCGGGACTCGGGGTGAGTTTGCGTCATCGTCTCATGATGCGAACAGCTCCGTACTTCCTTGCCGCGTGCGGGCGCGTCTGCTCTTCTACGCGCTGGCTCTATACCGAAGGAGTATCTCTGATGTCGCTTGCTGAGCAAGGGGCGTCCCCGACTTGAGGGCTCCGTGGCGGGTGGAGAGCTCTGACGGTGAATTCTTCCATTATACCTCATGGATAAAGAGGCAAAACAAAACAAACAACAAAAGGCTGCATCCACGGATGCGCCTGTAACTAACAAACCCAGGGTTGCATCTCAGGACGTGTCGCGGTGCAAGTCACCAGTGACACGATACTCTGATGCCCCTGTTTCACACGCGGATGCACCTATTTGGGCAGCGTCCAAGACTCCAAAGGAGAGGGAAGCGGCTGGGGATGCGCCGAACCGGGCTGTACCCTTGACCGTACCCCCTCCGATGAAATCCCAAACACCACCGCACAAGGAAGTGTCCACTGTTGCGGCCAGGTTGACTGCGTCGGTCCAGCCAAAGATGGTGACTCCGAAAGATGCTACAGCAATGTCTGCGTCTGTAGGAGGGGCATCCGCGGCAAGAACGATGCGGAAGACCGAGGCTGCGACGGAGAGCACATCCAGTGCACCAACCTCGACCATGGATATGTCGGCCCTGAAAACTACAATTCAGGAACCGACTCTCACAATAGTTCTGAGTGCCTCTAAAAGGCGACGGCTCAAAAAAGCCAAAAGAGCGTCGGAACAGCAGATGCTGGATACCGACGCTCAGAAGCTACCTAAAAACCCTAAACCTGCCCCCGCTGCTCCCACAGCAGCAGGAGGCGGGAAAAGGGCATCGAAGCCGACAAGGTCCACTGCCGCGCTCAAGCCTAGAGTGCCTAACTCAAATAAAACCAACAAACAAACCAAGGGCCAGAAACGCGATCGGCCGGAGGAAACCGTGACGCGAAAACGCGTGAAAAGGGTAAAACCCAACAAACCCCGACTGGAGGCAGGTACCTCGGCCAGTTATGCGGAAGCGGCAGCATTTTATAAAGCCAACAAGCTTTGTGTTGCCGTGATGACTGAGCCCTTCGTAGACATGTCAAAAGAACAGGTGGATAACATCCGCCTACAAATTGAGGGAAAGATACAAGATGAGCTTATGGCGGATCTTGAAGCTACCCTAACAACCGAACCCAACGACATCAGGTTCCGGGGCAGAGCCCACTTCTCAGATGGTGTCCTCAAAACTTGGTGCGAGGACACTTTCACACTAGACTGGCTGACCAGAACTTGTGATTTCATCACTAATCCGATACCTGACACCAGGTTGGTGGTTCGGCCTCAATCGGCTATTCCGAAGAAAGTTCCGTGTCTACTAAATGTACCAGAGTTCACTGGTGACACGGAGACACTACGGTAACTGATTACGAGACAGAACCGCCACCTCAATAACAGATCTTGGACCCTAACGCACGAACGTCGAATACAGGGCCCGACATGTGTCTCTCTCTTTTTTCGTGTGCTGGAGTCTGAGATCACAAAGATCACACACAGCACATGAACGGCGTATATACTATCTGATGGGGAACATCTACATCCGTATTTTGAAAAATGATCAACCCTCACAGATGGTAGCCGCTTCACCACTAACCACTGTCAGTACATCGGGGACGGAGTCATCAAGACCAAGGCCGCCCACGGCAATGACGGGGGAAGCTGCGGTCGCCGAGACACACGCTCCTATGGAGACAGTTTGACAACCACCTTCACCGGTGCAATTAACCTCGGATGATGAGTTCTTTCAGGAGACTGGGGGGAGTGAACTCAGCGACAGCTGTCTGCGCTCCTCTCGCTCACCGGACTGACCTTATCCAGGCCAACCTCCACAGCCAAACAGCGTCGGCTTCCCTACGCAGACTGCTGGAGACCAACCCGAAGACCATCGCCGCGATCCAGGAGCCGTGGATCAGGAATGGCAAGATATGTGGCCTGGGAACCACCGGTGGTAAACTTTTACTGGACACCTCCGTAAGTAACCCAAGAACCTGCATAATTTTACCTAAACATGTACCAGCATTATTAATAAACGAACTGTGTTCAAGGGACCTTACAGCTATTAGGTTACCTAGGAACGCACATCCAGACATCGTCCTGGTGTCCGCCTACTTACCGGGTGACGAGGACGTGCCCACTCCAGAACTCAGCATTTTGGCTGACTACTGTTAGAGGGAGAAACTGGAGCTCATCATCGCGGCGGACTTCAATGCGCACCATACGTTATGGGGTAATGACAATACCAACGCTCGAGGTGAGGATTTGCTTAACTATAATCTTATACTTAGCAAATAATCTTATCTTAACAAACAAAAAATGGCTCAGAACCAACTTTTATTAACGCACGCTCGCAAACCATAATTGATCTAACAATGGTAACTGCTGGTCTGTCAGATCACATACAAGACTGGAACGTTTCCAGTGAGCTATCATATTCGGATCATAGGTGGATCCACTTTGCAATCAAAGGGGAGCTACCTAAATCACAACCAAGACGTATATCTCGGAGAACCGATTCGGTTAAATTTTACAGACTTATTAGTTCTGAGGTAGATAAACTAACGATACCAACCACCATTGATATACAAGATATAGACAAACATGTAAAAAACCTAACGTCCCTACTCCTGACAAGCTATGAACAGTCGTATCCCCTTACCATACCAAGGTGGGAGGGGAGACATAACTAATGGTGCCCCGAACTGGAGACACCGACTGAAGGTCAGGAAGCTGTTCAATAAAGCCGGGAATACACCGTCACCCATTGATTGGGACAAGTACACAGACGCGAGAAGGCGATTTAAAAAACTTTTACGTACTAGGAAGCAAGAGTGCTGAAATAGAAATAAATAAATTAAGACCAGTGGTGCTACTACATTGTAGGTATAGACCTCAAATTTCTTTTTTGTTTAGTGATAATTTATCTTTTTTATTAGGCAAGTAGGTGATCAGCCTTCTGAGCCTGACACATGGCCTCGAGTATTTAAGTCGTAGGCATGACGGATTCCTAACGATGTTTTTCTTTACCGTACGAGCGAGAGTTAAATACGCACATAGAAAAAAAGTAAATGGAGCTGTGAATCGAACCTACGATTACTCAGGGATGAAAGTGGCATGTAAAAACCACTAGGCCAACACTGCTGCTTACTGAACAAAAATTGTTTGATTTTCACCAAGATTCTTGCTAAACAATAAAATCCAGTTATTTAAACGCAAAATAACACTCATGACTCATGAAAAAATGTGTCTATGGACTCTCAAAATCAAGCATATTTTTTTTTGACGTAATATTACCTGTGATAAAAAAAGATACAGTCGCTTTCTGATACCGCCTGTACAATGAGGACTTACCCTAAGGGTGATATTCAGAAACGAAACTTAGCGTTATGCCCCTCGTATGTCAAAAACATGTGTCATATTATAGATATAATATATAGAGTCCAGACTTATGGAAGCGTACACTCAGACTCCCGTCAAAACCATTACGGTTTAATTTCATTAGATCTTTTATCCCGCGCATTTCAATTTCCACAAGAAAGTCGTGCAGGTAGGACTTAAAATAAATAGTTAATTTCTGTTTGTTATTTATACTTAAGTATTATACGAGTACTTATCGACTCGATAATCACAATGATATTTTGTACTATTAAATTGTTTAATATTATTTCTTCCCTGATCGGTTTTAATTTTCTTAAGTGTTAATGTAAACTTTTAAGCCTGATCCATTAATAAATTTGCGTCTTTGTTAAGTGGTACCTAATGTATTAGTCCTAATAAAACGAGTAAACAAACCATAAAATTCTTATCTCTAACTTTCGTTTGCAAGATCAAGTTGGTGAAACCATTTTTCTTTGCTTACGAAATGAAACTTGAAATGAAAATCAACTCTTTTCCATTGTGTTAAGAGTGTTTATATTTAACATAGGTGTATATGAAGTTTGTTTTGAATGTATGTACACAGTGTGTCAAATGAAAGGGATTAGGGGGGTAAATGCATTAGGTAGTAACTTTTACGAGTATGCAAATATAGCAGCTGTAAAATTTAACTCATGACATGTAACGATCACGCTTACAGATTGCATTTGAGGCCAAATGTTTTTGATGACACATAAAATTAATTAAACATATTCTGTCCTTTTTAGGGCAGTATTACACATACAAAAATTCTTTAATTAAACATCCATTCGTGTCAATTTTCCAATTATCTAATGTGATTTACAAATGAATGCCTACGTTTCGTGTACATTGCAGCGATTATCGGGTGGAATAAGGATGTATCATTGCAGGGTAATAGCTACCGGCTTAAGCTGGTGGAGTATAGCGAAATTAGCTCACGATATCATCCTTTGTAGTATTATGTTTATTTTAACCACTATTATTTCCAACCCTTAGGATGTGACATCAGCGCTGCGGATATTAAGAGAACTAAATTGAAATTGGATACTACTACGTCACCATTGCTGTCGCTTCTGCTATTGAAACATACAAAGTGCAGGCGCAGGTGCAGGACAGACCACTTCACCTAATCATGCGAGGTACGAGGTATTTACCACCAACTTTCAAAATTGGAGCTCGGTACAATATTTCTCTGGCTATGCCCGGGACATAACTTCAGCCCTCACGATCTATATCTAAAATTGTTTACAAATTAACTAACAAGGGTAGTTTGGTAAAACATAATTATAAACAAACAACGAAAATCAAAAGAGTTAAGTCGAAATCAGCCATAACCAATAATTTTCAATTTGTTCCCACAAAACATATTATTACTCCTTTACTAACGGATACATCAAATTGTCATCGTATAATTAAAAAAATAAAATTACATATCCTAGTCTATCATCTTTAAAATCAAACATTATTGACCCGTAAAACACACAGTCTAAACCAATATATTTTCAACTGTATCTAGTTGTAATACAGCTTAAAATGAATTAACACTACCAAATAAGTGGACAATAGTGAACGCTCAGGTGCGTAACAAACTAATTAATTCAAAAGCCCGCATTTGATTACACAAATCAAATGGTTTATTGTGTGTGGGGTGAAATGAGAAATCGCTAAGAAATTTTGTTTGTCACGTTTCGACCATATTTCCGGTGGGTTTTTTGTTCGAAACGCCTCATTATTACACTTCATTGTAGAGTTATTGTATGTAGGAGTGATATTGTTTATTTTGATTGCTTATAAATATTATAACTTATTGTTTAGGAGTTATGATATGTGAAAATAGTGATCGCTGTTATTATTACTGTACTATACTTTAGTACAGTAATAATAACAAAATAAATAGCTATAATGGAAAACGGTATCTAGCATTTTTGGGATTATTATTAAACCTTAATGAATTACACACCAAAACAAATGAAAGAAAGACACTATCTGGTGGTAAAAACCGTAACAGGAATCCGTTAAATATTTTTGGAGTTAATCGCGTTCGTACAGACAAAAAGCGGTCGTGGTACTATTACGGACATTTTACACACAATATAATTTAAACGAATTTTTATATAATAAAAATTTAACTTAAAAATATAATCATTGCAAAACATAGCGTAAATCTTGATGAATTTTTAAATACAAACATCGTTTCATGAGACCAAATACTTTTTTTGGATTAATGATGTACCTTTGAGATACGCATCTATTATTTTCATAACTCTATAGTAATTGCCCCTCAATGGAACACAGGTGTGGAGTTTTCACACGCGGAGGTAACTAACTTTATAACGCCTCGTTTGTTATTTTTGACCAATTAATGATTAATGAATCAATAAGCTTTGTTATTGACTGAACATCTTACTATGAACTTGTTAACCGTCCTCGTAGCATAATACTGCCTATAGGGGCAAGCAAGGCGTTTGTAGGAACTGGTCCATGTCCAAGAAAGGCGGTCATAGAGGTTGTATGTACGGATAAAATAAAAAAATTAATCTAAGAAATGATTGTTTTAAGGTTTTAATGATAACTAAAACTAAAACAGTAGATATATTTTTAAAAAGGTAGATGTATATTCTCAAAAAAAAGGATCCATCCGTACTAATAAATAATAGGTAGCAATAAAATAAGTTTTATTTATAAATTATTTCTGAAAATAGCTTAATTTACATATAAATAATAAAATTTACCAGATAATAGAAAACTGAACATAGTATTTATATAAAACATCGTCTTTTTACATAATAGTAAAACATTATAATTCACAATATTTACAGGTTTCTCTTATGCCAATATAGTTTAAGTACATAATAAATCCAACACTTCTTTTGCTAATACAGACTTCTTCTTACAAGGTAACTTTCTTATGCTAGAAATAAGTGGGTCTGAATTAAGAAGAAGTCTGTTCAAAAGATCCATATTAGTTACTCTCCGGAATCGAATGTTTCCTAGTGTTATCGCGTCTAAATAGTTTAACTAATTTATTACAAGATTCGGCGGCCTCTTCAGATGATTCCGTTACGCGAATATCAGTTGGGTAGCAACGTTTTTTGGCTTCCAACACTCTTTGATAACATGGAAAAGCATTTGGTATTTTAGAATTAATCAAGTTTTTTAATAAAATGTATTGATGATTAGTTAGTTTAGTTTCAGTAATAAATGAAACGATTTCATCAGAGTTGAATTTTAAAAAACTGTCGGCTGATTGATTGGAATCACTAAGTAAAGTATTTATAGCAGAATCGTCTATTTGAGATAAAATTGCCAACCTGCGACGTTTGCTTTCTGCTGCATTCTCCAAACTCCTTCCTGTGCTGCGTCCTGCTTGTAGATTGAAGATATTCGCTTGTCTCGTCGTCGTTTTCATGTAGTTCTCCGTCAGAGCTCCCAAGAATGCAGACTTCGATCTCATTTAACCAGTCGCCGTATTTGGCAATCAGCTTAGCTTTTGTCCTCCCCAGTTTCTTCCAATATGCAGCAAACCGTTTACAGAGATTACAAATTAAATCTCCTTAAGTAATCGGTCTTGATATTTTCAGTGTCCGGTAAAGAATTTGCTAGCATTCCAAACACTTCACGAGATCTATCTGCCTCATCTTCTTTACTTGTCGCATTCAACCACGTGTCTAGGACAAGCATTCGAGGAAAAGAACACTTGATGATGGATCCTACAGAATAAAAGAAATGAAAATTATAAAGTATCAAATATACCTATATACGACTTTGTCTTTGTCATGACCTATAAGCAATCCTCGGCGCACTTTGGCGCACCTAGATGTTACAGATTCTAAAACTAGACAAACAAGAGATTATTTTGATATATGTTTCATCTTTGGGGATTCGTTCCTTCCTAACTAAAAGTCTAATTAAATATGGCAAAGCGGTAAAACTCAAAGAAATCGGAAGTCTTTCTTGATGGTGGTGATTACAGATAACGACACGGTTAAAGTAAACACAATAGGATTAAAAATGTCATACATACCTTCTATTTGAATATCCATGGCACAAAATTATCACAAACTATCAATTTCCAGAAAACAACACTTTAAAACAATAGAAATTTTGCCGACAAAGACAACGCTAATTAGCACTATTGGAATGTTATCACTTCGGTTGCACAAAATGAAATGATCCTTTCATGTTATTGTAATTTTTTTTATATCTGGGGGTAGAAGGGTTATTTGTCTACCCTGTAGTGATAAGTGACGTCATAATTCAACCATCGACATTTCAGCCCTATGACCTTTGGATG